TCCACCCAGGGACCCTGCATTTCTGCTTCCTCTCCTGCACACGGAGCTCCTTCTCAAGTACCCTTTCCTATGCGGCCTCAGCTGCAGCACTCACCACCCCTGGGCTCCTAGTCATCTTCAAGGTGCTCACAACAATCTGTGAGGAGTTAATGATTTACTTGCCTAGCATCTCCAGCACCGTAGTGGGGCGGGGGCATGACAGGACTGTACTCTAGCAGGCTGGTGGTTACTTTTCTTTTTTTCTTTGTATGCACTGGGTATGGAACCCAGGACCTAGGGTATGCTACACAAACCCTTTACCAATGAGCTCCACCCCTCGCCCTAGTAGCAGTTCTTTCTTTGTGTTTTTCAGGCATCCCCAGTTTCTAAAGCAGCAGTGCTTGCTATATAATATATACTCAGAAGATATTTCTTGCCTGAAAGAATGAAAACATTCATATATATCCAGGATTAAAAAAAAAAAACAGGGTCTCACTATGTAGTTCAGACTGTCCTGGAACTCACTATGTAGCCCAGGCTAGTCTCGAATTCACAGCGATCCTCCTGCCTCAGCCTCCTGAGTTCTGGGATTACAGGCCTGCGCCACCACACCTGGCTTATATCCAGGATTTTTAAAATAAGGGCTTCATTCTCTTTTCACTTAAAAATATTACAAAAATACTATTCTATGTCAGAATGTATACAGAAGGATAAATCCACCCCATAACAAGTTATCGCATTACTTATGTCTGAACCACGTTATCAAACAATTTCCATACTGATAAATACTTGTATAATTTCCAGAGTCTTCGGGGGGGGGGTTATGAATAGTGCTTTAAAGAACTTTCTTTTACAAATATTCTTGCATCCTTGGATGAATTTTTTGTCTTTGTTTTTGAGGCAGGTTCTTACTAGTAGTTCGGGCTGCTTTGAATTCACTATGTAAGTCCAGGCTGGCCTCTAACTCATGGCAAATCTCCTGCCTCAGCCTCCCAAATTCTGGCATCACAGGTGTGCACGACAACACCCAGTTTGGATGAATGTTTTCATAGATTAAGTCCCAAGAAGGAGAATTGCTGGTTTAGAGTCTTACTTGGTTTTAAACAGATACTATGGCATTGGAGAATACACAAGGGTTTCACTTGGGAAGATGTGGGTGTGACCCACCTTTTCCATGGGCTTCCTCTGTGGCATTCAGAGCCTCTTTCAGACTCAGTATCCTGGCAAAAACTCACCTACTGTCTCTACATTCATATGAGATCATCGGTATACAATTAGCTCCCAGAATGTAAGGTTCTGTACTGAAGGAAAACATATAATCAAGCAATGTGACATAGCAGTTAAGGGGATGGGTGGGGTGGCTTAAGTGCCATACTGCTGTGTGGTGCATGCAAGATGGGGACAGTACAGGTACCCACCCCACAGGGCTGTGAGGATTACACAAATTAATGTGGGATAGTTATGAGATGCTGAGTAGCACACAGTAAATAATGTATAAGTACTATCATATTTTATTGCTTGTATTGGTGCCGTTGTGATTCACCTGAGACCATAAAGCATAATTAAATGCTTCCTGATACTTTTCTGAAAAAGTCCTCACGTGTTCACAACAGTTTTTCTTGTCCTTGAACCTAATATTTGTCACGCGTCATTAAATTTGCCACAATTTCAATTCACTCGTGTCGCACAGAATACTACATATATTTCTGCTCTCCCTTCAAGATATGGCGCTCAAAACCTGGGTTGAAAAAAAGAAAACCCTAAGGTTGCTCAATGATTTCTAGGAAATAAACACAATGACAGAGTGCTTCTCGGAGTGATTATTTCAAAAAAGGAAAGGAAAAAGAAAGAAAAGGCCACCAGTATGTTATACTGCCACACACCACCCTCAAGAGCCCTCACAGGGTGATTCTCACCTTAGCATTCAGATGGTGAATTCTCAGAAGACACAGCTCAGCCTGCTCTAGGGCTTTCTGTAGGATCCTGGCTGCACCAGGAAAACAGAGCCGCTACAGTGCACACAGTTAATGCCCAGCCCAGTACATGGCAGATGACCTGTGGTTTCCCAAGAACACAGTAGGATACAATGGCCACGGTACTGGGGGAAGACCAGGCTATTGGCGTGTTCATTCTCTTTGAAGTTTTGTACGTATTCTCTTTCTCCCTCCTCCTCCCTTTCTCTTTCTCAAGAAGCATCCATTTGTTCCTTCCGAAGTCCATTGTGTGTGTCTGTGTGAATGTTTATAAGGTTGGGGATCAAATCCAAAGCCTTGTACATGCAAGTGTTCTATCACAGAGTCACACCCCACTCCTCCAAAATTCACTTTGGAGCCAGGGAACCTCTCTGCAGAGGTAATAATGGAATAGCTATGAGCACCTTTCCATGTTACTGATGCAGTTACTTTTGAATCAGGCATAGTGGCCCACACCTATAATCCCAGGTACTTAGGAGACTGAAGCGGGAAGAGCAGGTCACTGCAAGAGTAAGAAGACAGTGGCAAAGAACCAATGGCCACCATCTTTTATACCCTTTATCAGGGGTCAGATATGGGCCCTCAGAAGCTGTTTTACACAGGTGCATCAGCTGTGATTTCACAGCTCTCCATGACTGACAGGTCACACTCTCTAATGTCCTGCCTCATCAACATAAAGCAAAGGAACAGATCACCAACTGTTCCCCAGTTCGTGAAAGTTTCTGTTTGCAAACAACTCGGTTTACAAATAAAAATGCTCAGCAACATTTTGCTTCCATTTGCAAACTCCACACTGGATGACAAACATGGCCCGTGGCCTTGTTCCCCAAAATTTTAAAACAAAGTTAATAAAGGGAGGCACCACTGGGATTGAACTGGTGAGAAGTTGCTGGGGTGCAAGCTATGGCAGTGATGGTGGACCTCTTACAGCTTTCAATGAAACTAACAGCCCTAGTTCTCCACCACTAAGCTAGGGCACTGTGAGAAAAGGTCATTAGCTATAGGATGTCAGAGGATGAAACTACAACTTCATTTCAAGATCTAAACTGACTATATTTTTGATTCTAAAATCAGGCGACACTTTGTTCTATAAAACAGAGTAAGTATTCCAATGAATCAAACAATGGAGGACGGTCTTACAGACTCAAAAGGGTGAACAAAGCCAGGTGTGGTGGCACATACCTGTAATCCCAGCACTCTGGGAGGCTGAGGCAGAAGGGTCACAAGATGGGGCCTAGCTTGGGCAGTACAGTGACTTAGCGAGACCCTGTCTCAAAATAACACCTCAAACAAAATTGGGCTAGGAGTGTAGCTCTGTGAAAAAGCTCTGGTTTGATCTCCAGTCCTAGGGTAGGGAGGAAGGTTAAAGAAAGCAGAAGCAAAAAAACCAAATAGATTGATGTATTATTTCCCTTACAAGGTGGAGAAAAGGACACAGAACAATAGGTAAATAACACAAGGCCACTTCAGGTTACCTTTTCAATGTAAGGAATGAGGCAGAGGGAACTTCCTTATTGTGCCAGGTGAAACTGGATTATTTGAGAAATTGGGTCACTGCCTTTCTAGTCCTGATTTTGGGAGACATTCAGATAAATAACTTAGTTTAAATTTGGCATTGGATTTTAGTTTTAGTTTAGGAGATGTGACTCCATTTTTAATTCAGTCTGGTCTATTGAGGCCTACTGCAATGGCCTAGTCCAAGACAATGGCCCCTATAATTTTTTTTTAACAAGTTCACACAAGACAGAGATGATAATGCTTGCAGCAACAGGATGGGAGAGATTATGGTTCATAAACAGACCCAAGAGGAAAGTGGTAGCCCTAGGTCTCAGGAAATGTTTGAGAAGATGTGGGTTCTATTCAGAAATGCTGAAGGAGATTTAGGTAGTTCACTTCCAATGGTCTTCAATCTGCAAAGACACAGGGGTAGAGGCCCTAGCATTTCAGAACTGGAGAAGCTAGGAGGAAATTTACTAAGCTGCAAGAAGTACGAGGAGGCAAAAGGGAGCTAACAGCAAGTAAAAGGCAAAAGAGACAAAAGGCTGAAGCTGCCCATGGTGGCACCTACTATAACCCCAGAACACCAGAAACTGTGGTAGAAGCTTCTTCAGTTCAAGGCCAGCCTGGGCTACACAGCCCTGCGGCAATAAACAAACCAAGGCTGACTGTGGATACTGTGTATGAAAGGAGGTGGTCTCAACTGTACAGGAGCAGCTCTTGTGTGCGAGTCCTCCAAACAGAGAGAAAGAAATCCAGAGCAGAGAAGAGATCCACAGAAACACCATCAGAAGGGTACTTCAAGGCCGGGGATTTAGCTCAGTGGTTCCACAAACAAAATCATCGAGTTTGGTATGTTGTGCAATCCTAGCTCCCTGGGAGGCCGAGGCGGGAGGATAGAAAATTCAACCCAGTCTGGGCAATTAATTCAACCCAGTCATTAAGACTTTGTGAGATTCTGTCTCAAAATTTAAAAATAAAACATAAAAAGGGCTGGAGATATAGCTGAGTGCAAAGGCCCTGGGTTTAATCCCCACTCCTACATTCAAAAGAAAACAAAAATGAAAGTCACGGACTCTTCTATGGGACAAAGCCCACAATTTAGACAGGAAGTAGCAACAAGGATGAAGAACCAGGGTATATCGGAGCATATTAGTATACACTTATTTCTGATTTTATGCACTCAGAGTATATCAGCAGATGTGATGGAGAAATGCAAAGCTGGTTCAGTGTTATATATGGGCTTCTGTAATAAATCAAAAAATAGAATAAGGACAGAAAATATGGTTTTAAATAAGTACTAGAATAAAATTTGATTAATTGTATACCCATTCTTTACTTTTTTTAAAAAGAAACATTACAGAGCCAGGTGGATTGCAAGTCCAAGTCCAGCCTGGACTACATAGTGAGACTCCTCTCTAGAAGCAAAAAATAAAATAAACTTTAAAAACAAATTTTAGAAATTTATTGGAGTTTTTGTTTTATTTTTATTTTTGAGATAGGATTTCCCTATGTAGTTCAGGCAGGCTGGCCTCAAACTCATGGTGATTGCCCTGCCTCAGCCTCCAGGGGGCCGGGAATATAGGCCTGCACCACCACTCCCGGTTAGGAATTTACTGGAAAGAAATATCCGTACATATTCAAAGATATAGGCAAAGATTTAAAAAGAAATAAAAGCCAAAGTGATTGGAAAGTAGTAGCCAGATTATGATCATTTATAAATAAGGAAATTATTCTATCCAGAAAATTAAGGAAAACAAGCAACAAAATCATTACTTTTCCTGTAAGACAAATAACCAGTTGGCGTTACATAATATGGGAAGTTCCCCTGTACAGAAACAAACCTCTATATTGTAATTTGCTTAGGCTGCCACAACAAGATATCTCACACTGGGAGGCTTACACTGAAAAGTGTCTTCTCGCAGGGGGTTGGAATTCAGATCGGGCAGGCAAGGCGACGCCTACAGCCCCTCTGCCCAGGCCTGAGAATGCCTGGCCTTCTTCCCAGGTGCTCCCGCGTGGTGTGTTCCTTATGTAGGATCCCGGTCCCCAGTTGTATCTCTGTGCTTCCTTCCCAATCTGCAGCCTCATAAGGACAGCAGTCAGGTTGGACCAGTGTCCACCGGATGCCCCATTTCACTTTGATCAACCTGTAAAGTTTCCAGATTCAAATTCAGTCACACTCTGAGATTCTGTGAAGATTTCAACATACGATGGGGACAGTGTCACAATTCCACCATAACGGTCTCAAAACATAGGCATTACCTTATCATGTCCCTGAAAAGGATATATTAGTGACCCAGAGGAAAAGGTTAATTCAATGACATTTTTTTTTTTTTTTGTACCGGGGTTTAAACTCAACTCAGGTCCTTGAGCTTGAGAGGCAGGTACCAGAACCATTAAGCTAAATCCCTTATGAAGTTTGACCAAAAGTCATAAAAAGAATACTTGAGAAAATGGAGAAATGCACCACGTTCTTGCTGGGAAAGTCTTAGTATTATAGAGTTCTGTTAAAATGTCAGTTTATTCCAAATTACTTACAAAGTCCAACAGCGTATTTTTTTCAAACATCTCGTCCTTGCCTTTTCCTTTTCCTTCCATGTCTGTTACATTACATTCGATTGTATATTCTCTATTTCTAGTTGGCACGATACTATCAGGTTAAGACCCGTAATCAACATATTTAGCAATCATCACCCCACCAGTCTCTTAGGATAAAGCCTCTGGCTTATCTTTGAAAATGTGAAAATCCTGTCCTGTCCTCAGTCTACCTATAAATAGTGCTGTGTAGTCACTATTTACTTTTATGGTGCTGGGAATTGAACCCAGGTCCTTCACAGAGCTACATCACTGGCACTTTTACTTTTTTTTTTAACTTGGAGACAGGGTCTAAGTGAGTTTCTAAATTGTCCAACTGGGCTCAAACTCCCAAACCTCTGGACTCAACTCCCAGAGTGCTGATATTGCAGGCAAGTACCATCAAGCCGGACCTGTAGTCGTTCTTATTAAAGTTAAACCTGTCCCTTCAGTTCCATTTCTACCCGCCCTGTGGACTCTTAACTCTGCACATCACATCTAGATCAGCCTTTTAAAAATATGATTTTACCAACTTCTTCCAAGTGTACAAATACGTACTTGATAATGTTACTGGGTGGGCTTGGACGAGTTAATCACTGTGCTTCAGTTAACTTGTCTATAAAACAAGGATGACAACAGTACTTACCTCATAGAGGTATCAAAATTAAAGCAGCTAACAATTTAGTAGCAGGGCTGGGGATTTCGCTCAGTGGTTCTGCCACCTGCCTCACTAAGCCCAAGGTCTCAAGTTCAAGCCTCTGTACCAAAAACAAAAACAAGAAACCAATTTAGTAGTAGTTTTGTTTTCTTGTTGATACAGGGCCTCCCTTTTGTGGTCAGCACTGGCCTTGAACTTGCTATGTAGCCTAGGCTGGTTTCAAACTCCTGATCCTCTTGCCTCAGCCTCCCAAGTACTAGAATTATAGGTACGTGCTACCATTCTTGGCAAGCGGTTAACATTTTAAAACAGAACAGGAAATACTTTATATACAGTTGTTACATAAATAATGTCTCAATTGTTTTACTTGTTTAAAGTACTCTTTTCAGTCAGTTTTGGTCAGTTTTGACCCTATACTTCCTTTCTCAATGATTAAACTCAGGGGCTGGAGATTTAGCTCAGTGGTTCCACCACTGCCTCACAAGTGCAAGGTCCTGAGTTTGAAACCTGGTACAAAAAAAGAAGAAGAAAGATTATGGGAACTGAATGAAAATATTTATGGATCAGGTCTGATGAGGGCCAGGCTTGGTGGCCCACATGCCTAGAATCCCAGCACTCTGGAGGGGAGGCTGAGGCAGGAGGATCACCATGAGGCCAGCCAGATCTACATAATGAGTTCAAGGCCAGTCTGAACTCTGTAAAGAGACCCTGTCTCAAAAAACAAAAACTGTTAGGGACCTGATGCTGCCATCACAGGTTGCATTTTCCTGGTTCTTCTTGCCTCTAAAATGACCTCATGCTCTTTTCTTTAGTTTCCCTCCCCCTAAGGCCACAGCAGTCGGGAGAGGTTAAGCCTGTTTCTATAGGAGAGAACCCATAAAGGTCAACCTGGCCTGTGACAGGTTAAAGGTAGCCCATTCCTCATAAATAATCGACAGCCCACCCCCCAAATCAATAAAAGGACCTTCCCTTCTTTGTTCTCTCTTTATCTTCCTCTCTCTCCTTTCTCTCTCTCTTCCCTCTCTCCTCTCTCCCTAACCTGCCTTCCCTAATAAAATCTCCTGTCCGACCTCTCCGGTGTGTGGCCTAGTTGTTGAGCGTCCCGTGCCTCTACAAAAACAAAAAATCAGGGTTGATGAGGAGTCAAGTGAGGATTTGCTGCAGAACCTCTATCCCACAGGGACCTTGCAAAATAACCACAAGTATTAGCTTATATTTTTCATGACAGACAAACATCATCATATTTTTCTGTTACCCTTGAAAATCAACAGATGTAGTTGCCTAGGAAGTTCGAAAGGTGTGGGAAACAAAACCTTCCATTTTAAGCACTGATGAGGGTTAAGGGAACAGCTACCCTTTTGACAAATTTCAGAGTAATTAGGCAGAAAATCTCTCTGGTAGTGGACACTAAATTTTCTCATTTTTTTCCTACTACTGGGTGTTGGGCCCCTTCGCCTTTGCATTGGGCTTCATTCCCTGCCCTTTATTTTTTATTTTGAGACAGGGTCTCACTAAGTTACCCAGGCTGGCCTTGAACTTGCGATCCTCCTGCCTTAGCTTTCTAGACTGCTGATATTACTGGCTTGTGCCACCATTCCTGGCTTACAAATTTTCTCTATGTTTCTGAGAATCACTTTCACTACCAACAGAAAACGCAGGGAGTTCAAAATAAAAAGTTGAGTACACTTTAAAAATCCTTTTTTCCCCACAGATGTATTTCAGGAGTTCCTATGGGCTCAGACTCAAAAGACCTGGGCTTTTGTAAAACAGCCTTCGCTAATATAGGACCAGGGGAAGTGGCCTTGAAGAAATGATAACGGAGCACGTTAAGCACCTGGATACCTGCTTTGTCTAGAAAACATCCTATTTTCATTTGTCGTCTCTGGGCCTCATTGGACAGAGAAAGCTAGGCCTCATCTGCCACCTGGTGACGCTGATGACGCACGATGAGTCCCAGCTGCTGCCATTAGCAAGGCTGCGTGGTCTCCTTTAAGAAGCTGACTCACGTGGACGCTGTGTTGTGCGCTCTCAGCTGGGAAGGGGGTGTATCCCGAGCCGCACCACATTGGCTGCCTCGGGAGAAGGGGCAAAATTAGCCTCTTTGATTGGCTGTACGGGCCGAGGTGTTGTGTCGGGGGCGGAGTAAGGCTCAGCAGGCCCGCCCCGCGTCTGAGGCTTCTGGGAGGGGTGGGCCGCCAAGGGGAGAGGAGTAGGGGTGGGGGAGGGTGAGCCAGAGGAGGGGCGGGGTCCAGCGGAAGGGGCAGAGTGCCAGAGAGAGGGGCGGGGCCTGAAAGCGAAGGGCGTTCTGAGCCAACCGGGAGAGCCGACCGCAGGAGGGGCGGAGCCACGCCGGGTGATTGACGCGGAGGTCTAACCCCGAGAAAGGCGGGGCCAAGGCCGGGGCCTGACTAAACTGGAGAGTCTGGTAGCTTAGGGGCTTCGTCCCAGCTAAGGAGCGCAGAGCTGCTGGCAGCAGGCATCTCACCGCCGCCCGGGGTGAGTGGGGAGGCGGGGGACGAGGACAGGGCCGGTGGGCGGCCTTGAAGCCCTCGGAGAGCGGCCCGGCGGGGACCCAGGCAGGAAGTGC